GATTTAGAAATGTTAGTACTGAAAACGTGCGACCAATAGTGTTTGTAATGAACTACGGTCACATCTATTTAGGAAGGATGGTAAGATTTTTACTATTTGTCCTCAGTGCATCTTTTTCATACATTATTTTTGAAGCTAAACTTCATTGCTAAGTATGTTACCATACGATGTTCTTCAACAGGGACTCCCGATGAATGAATGTTGTGCCTTATGGGATCGAGACTAAAGGTACCATGAGTATTATTAGCTTACGGCCAAGATATCCTACAGATTACTTTAGTGCATTCAAGATTAGCGACGGATGCTTAATAGTGCAAGACTGGACCAAATATGTGATGGCGGCAGCAAACAGAGGCGCTACCCACGATTAGGAGACAGGTTCATCTGCATGCTCCAACTTGATCAAGGAGGAGAGCTACACATGTTTTATGTTGTTTTACCTAAGAGAGAGCAGCAAGAGTGATTAGCTAGCTAGAAATGAGTTTCAAGATGATGATGTGCTACATTATTACTATGATGATAAAATAGCTAGTGTTGGTGGTAATGACTATGATGATTATTATTAGCTAGTGTTAGTGGTGATTAAATAAATACTGTAGGTGGTAATGACCATCACGATGATTAAATATCTTGTGCTGTCGGATTAGATTCAAGTGGAGGCAACATGTCGTGCACATCGAAAGTACTACTAGTCCAAACTAGATCAAGTTTGGATTAGTAGTATACTTTTGACATGCACCACATATTGCCTCCATTTGAACCTAATCCATCTTCATTTGACACTGTTATGGACATAATGATGTAAACCTCATAACTGGTATTGTATCAATATTTGTACGACGGCGAATAAATAAACTAAAAATGAAAAAATAAAAAAAGAATACTAGTAGCGATGGAGAGAAAACACGCTGCCAGTAGTTACATTAGCAGTAGCGTGGGAGTGAACAAACACTGCAGCTATTCGTCCTAGCAGTAGCACGTGCGGGCACACGTTACTGCTAAGCAGTAGCTGTAGCGCCTTATTAGTAGCGCGCCTACCCGCGCTACTAGTGAGCACAAAACCAGCGCTACTGCTAGGGTTTTTCATAGTAGTGCTAGCGTGGCCTTGACGCGAAGGGAAGAACTCCAGGGATTAGCCACGCGAGGGGAAGCCTCGCGAGGACCTTGCTTCCTGCGGAGCTTGTTGTCGGTGCCAAAACCGGCAGATCTCCGGTAGGGGGTCCCAAACTGTGTGGAGGATCGAAGGTAACAGGAGATGGGGACACAATGTTTACCCAGGTTCGGGCCCTCTTAATAGAGGTAATACCCTACGTACTGCTTGATTGACTTTGGTGAGTATAGGGGTTACAAGAGTTGATCTACCTCGAGATCGTAATGGCTAAACCCTAGATGTCTAGCCTGTATGAATTCTGATAGCCTCTACGGACTAAAACCTCCGGTTTATATAGACAACGGATGGGGATAGGGTTGTACAAAGTCGATTTACAAAAGAAGGAAACTATACATCCGGACGCCAAGCTTGCCATCCACGTAAAGGAGAGTCCCATCCGGACACAGGGGAATGCCTTCTATCTTGTATCTTCACAGATCATCAGTCCGGCCCATGTCATATAGCCCGGACGCCCTAGGACCCCAGAGTCCAGGACTCCCTCAGTAGCCCCCGAACTTGCCTTCAATGACGATGTAGTATCCGGCTTTAAGTCTTCGGCTTTGCAAGGCGGGTTCTCCATCATACTTCGGATTGACAATAATTCGGCTTCACATTAAATATTATACTTTATTGCCTCTTTCCCGCCGTCGCCTCGGCTTCCACATGTCAAACGAATGCGACGGGTCTAACTATTTTTTTAAAATAACCCCTCGACCATGGCTACTTCAACTAATAATTAGGTCGACAGCTAGTAGTAGACAAATGCAGCCTTGGGCAGGCACGAACTATGATCACACTTATCTAGGAGCATCTCTCGGCACGAAGCTGCGTCAACGGCGTGCAGGAAGGTAAAGGTAAATAATACAACAGCCGTTGGTGGAAGGGGAAATGACGACTCATCGTGCCTACTTCGCCGCCATGCCACGCGAGCCCCTTTGCTGTGGAGAATTGGGAGACGGGGTGGAGACTCTATATGCTGGACTGAGATGGTGGAGAGCGGAGGCTCGGTCGCCGGAGCGAGCTCCCCAAGTCCCCACTAGGATTAGGATTCGGCCGTCCGTGAGGAATTTCCTATTGGACGCACCTTGCGTCAAGTTGTTGAGGTCTCTCGCGCATACGGGAAATTGAGCGATCGTTCAACTGGGCTAGCCCGTTTAAGCGTGTCTTCCTTGTTCTATTTTTTTGTTTTCTTCCTTGTTCCATTTTTTTGTTTTCCTTTATTCTTTTTGGCTTTTTTATTTTCTCACCTTTTTCCCTTTTCTGTTTATTTTTATTTTGTTTCTACGAGTATTTCGTTTGTTCTTTTCTTTCCTTTTGAATTAATTTTTCATTTTAAATTTTGTTTTTACTTTTTTTTAAATAGTTGTGTTTTATTTTTTTGCTCATAAATCAAAATAATATCTTCGATTTTAAAAAAATGTTTGTACTTTCAAAAAGTGTTCAGAATTTCAAATACATATTCCCGTATGAACAATTGTTCACAAATTTTAAAAATTTATTCACAAAATTTCATTTCTTCAGTAGTTCAAAAAATGTCCATGTTTCAGAAATTGATTGCAAATTTCAAAAAACTGATCGATTTTCAAATTTTGTTTGATATGTTTTCTTCAAAGTCCACAACTTTCTGCAAAATAGTTCACAAATGCTTAATAAATGTTTATGTTTTAATTTTTTCCAGGAGTTTCACAAACTGTTCAAAATTTTGAAATAATATTTTTGTTTCCAAATTTAGTTTGTGTGTTTCAAAACATTTTCAGAAGGTTATTTAAATATTATTTGGAATTTCAAAAAATGTTTCGCTTTTCAAATTATTTTTTTTAATTACTGATGTTTCCATTTTTTTTGGAATTCAAAAAATGTTTGCTTTTCCAACTTTTGTTTTGCAATTACAAAATATGTTCCCATTTCAGAAAGGTGTTCACAATTTTCAGAAAATTTTTAGCATTTAATAATTTGCACTGCCTTAGGAAAATTGCGTTCATAATTTCAGAAACTTTTTGAATCTGCGCTGGTGTTCGGTTCTTAATTGTTTGTGTTATCTTATAATAACTAAAGCTGGCTGGCTCAGCTGGTTGTATCGCTTTCTCCCTCAGGATGAGATCCTAGGTTCGATACCCGCGTGCTATAGGACTTTCCCGAGAGGGGAAGCGACGCAGCACTGCACGTCTGGATGACATTTGGTTGGGCCAACAAAAAAGCCCACATACGACGCTTTCTTACCACCACCCATGATCCATAAGCCCATTTTTCTGTCATGAGCTCTTCATTTTTACTTCTAGACATGTCATGGGCTCTGCCAATAATTTGAAAATAACCAGTGTTATTGTTGGGCCGAATAAAAAAATCAATCAGAGCAGCGACAGTTATCTCTGAATCCCAGTTGATTAGTTGAGTTAATTTTTCGAGCGGTTCCCTCTGAATGGAATACCTGGTTCAGTTTTTACTAAACGGAGGTAAAGTCTTGCCTCATAACATAATTAAGAAGAATTACAAAAATCAGGTCAAATTTCGCCAGAACATGCCGACGCATGGCCCCGTCTGGCTACCCAGAAGACTCACACACGCCACCAAAGAAAGAAATACCATTGAGGTTGTCTGCAAACTGCCGTCATCGTTAGTTCCTGAGCAAGCCACTCCGACTTCAATGTGCCTGGCCTAGGCCTACGCACTCACCCCATCAACCCCGTAAAACCCTTGTAAACTACCCGTACGTCTAGCATTACTCCTAAAAAAACCACCCGATTATGTGCATCTGATGTTCTACTCCTGCGTGCATATGCATTTGGGATGAACAGTAATGTTTGAAAAAATAGAAGCAAAATTAAAAAAAAAATCTTGATTTATTCCGTGATGGGCATTGTTGAATTTGTACGAATGTGGAAATACATCTTGGAGGTCTGGCAAAGAAAATCAATGTTCTAAAGTGCTTTTATTTTAAAAGTTGCCCCTTTTGGAAAATCGGTTTTATATTTTTTGCCAAGATCTCCAAAAATGTTTTTTCATCAGGAAATTTATATATTGGGAAAACATTCAACATTGTTTATCTCAAAAGAAAGTCATATTTTGTTTTGAAATTGTTTCCTATTTTTTGTATTTTACTATTCGCACAGGTGCATATGGGGGATGAATGCAAATAACAATACTTTATTAGTAGTTTTTATTCTGAGGATCACTTTATTAGACGCTTACAGACATTACAATGACCACACGCATATAATGGCACTCAAAAAACAACAATTGTGCGCCGGAGTTTATTTTAGCGGGGACAGATTAGGCCATCAAATTGAGCTGGACAACTAGTTTTGTTATTATTCATCCAAACAACAATCTCCTTCTCGAACTTGTCCATTGCAAGTCTTCGCAATAACATGCTCACCACGATCACATCCTCCCCTTTGCCATTCTTACACCTCATGTGGCAGCTCACAGAGTCGGTCGAGGCATCCCCGACCATGGGTAAGCCGCCTCCAACACGCTTAGCCCATCCGAAGTCCAGTGCCTCCTGTCCAATCCATTTCATGTCACTGACCTCATACACTCTGTCCACGGTCAGTGGTGGGCGCCCACGCAGAGAGGCCAGGAAATCCACCATGGACTCCATGCAATCGCCAGTCATGTTGCGCTTGGCCTCACGGATGAGTGCGATTGTGTAGGTAAGTGGGTTGCCGCATAGCTCTCCGACGGTCGTGTCCGTCATAGGGTAGAAGACCGCATTGCCGTAGAACCCATGCGGGACGAGCCGATGGTGTGGCTCATAATCGAGAGCCACCGTGCGGCAACGCCACATGACTGCGGTCAGAAGCTCGAAGCTTGTGGCTGGAGGGTCAGGATGCGTGGGGGCATTGTGGCTTCATAGCACCATGATGTCTCTTGGACTAAAGACGAAGAAGCGGCCAACCATTTCTTCCGGTGGCGTTGACAACATAATGTCATCTCCAGTGCTGCCTAATCTCTGGAGGAATTCCTCAAACACTGGGTTTATGTGCGGCGGGATACGTGCTGTCAGGAGCTCCCTGTTCCATACCGGCAATACAATTTGCGAGGTGTCACCACTAGTACGGGCCAAGTCGACAATGCATTTCAAGAATTGGATACTGCCATAGCCGTCGGCAATGCTGTGGCAAATGTGAAGACCAATTACAAATGCTCCACATCTGAGTTGGGTCACCTACTCACATATATAAACATGGAAATTAAGAAACATCAGTATAATGTAAAGGGATGACTTTAATACTAGTACTAGCAGTATAACTTTTTTTCGTCTATCAAGACTCGAGTTAAATTTTTGGCAAGATCATGTGAAGTAAAATAAAATTACAATAGTTGCACTTATAATTTTGTTTTGTCCATAGTGTACTACTTCTCCGTCGCTATAACTTCAGAAGAAAAGCCCTAGACCACCCCTTTCTACTTTTCCGAGGCAACAACGTTCATCTGACCTCACCACCGCTAAGGGCATGTCCACTTGGGGTGGTAACTTCGCCGCCACTTCACCAAAAAACATCTATTAGAAGAAAAAGTGAACACTGACTCATTGCCAAGTACCCGCCTCCATACGACATCTTGGTCAATAGGAGTACATAGAGGTGATGCATCGAGGCGCTGAAACTCCTAATTCCCTCCCTTCAGACAGGGTAGTCAACAATGGAGTGACCGAAGTCAGAAACCACCCTTCAGTTTCGTAGGCACCAGAGGTGCCAAAGCTTCACCAATGCACATTGATGAGAATAAGCACAAGCAATAGCAACTAAGTTTGCTCCGGATCCGCCATTGAAGGCCTGTCTACGATGCCATGGCGGACAAGGAAGGCAAACGTCACCCTCACCGTCCACTATTCTTCTGCCGCCAAAATAATAGAGCGAGACCGCCCCTAGCTTCACCAGATCCAACTCTCCCACAAGCTTATCCATTAAGCTATCACCGGATCCACTACCACACGTTACCATCCTCCATGGACATGAAGCAACCGGAGCATACGGCGGCCACAAAGATGTGGCACAGAAGGGGCTATGGACAGCTACACCACGACATAACGCCAATAACCCCAACGGGAAAACTCAACCTACAAATCTACATAGGAAAACCTCATGCCTCTCCCCTCTTGACTCCTGTCACTTAAGACAAGGACTTTGGTCAAAGTTTCATTATATTTGTTTTGATTTTACTGTTAATCATACGGTGCACCAAACATGGATGTAGCCACAACTTTTCCTTTTTGTAGTAATATGCCTGTGCAATTTGGTGTGCAGTTATATGGACACCAATCAAACTAACCCACAGCCTGCACGCGTGCTAGTTAGATCAATTGATGCTCAGTCTGCAACTCTATCCCTTATGTCATCAGACGCTCCCTCCGTCCTAAAATTCTTGTCTTAAATTTGTCTAGATACGGATGTATAAAGTCACGTTTTAGTATTAGATACATCCGTATCTAGACAAATCTAAGATAAACATTTTGGGACGGAGGGAGTACATGATAATTCGGTTATGCGGGCAAAATGGCAGGGTTGCACTAATTTGCGGCTTGCATATAAAATTGGATCCATACCTTTTTTTAAGAAATCAATGGCTAGCATGACCTTGAGGCTTTGGTCATCTTATTAACGTTTATTTTTCTACCCCTCTGATGATCCTCAAGTTGGTACCCAATCATTCATTATTTATTTTTTAGCGTGTTGACCCTTTGACAATCTATGATTTACGAGTTATTAAGCTACAACTATTAAGGTCTAGCGGATGTGAACTAGTTTGGTTAGATTATGAAAAATTGCGTAGATCTAACATATGTGATCTAGGTATAGTTAGGGTGTGACCAATGCATAGCCCCATTGTGATGCCCCGTAGGCCACGTTGAATCGGATGTTAGAAAAGTAGGTTCGGATGGAGTAGTGGGATCCTCTGCAGGAGGCGGGTGTTTGGAGAGAAAAAGTGTGGTCCGGTGCATAAAGCTGAAAAGGTTGAAGTGAAGAGTAGAGATGCATGTGTAGTGAGAATCTTTATTTTATATTCTTTGATGAGGCACACTAATGGTAGCTTGCATTGGGGAGAAAAATAATAATATAAATGCCTCAAACTACTTTTTTTCATGGGGCATCTCTATTTATATTCAACCATTGTACATGCCCTTATGCAGGGGGCTGGATACATCACTCTGATGTAGAGGCCGGAGGTAATCCTCATTTTCTAAAAAAATATAGTCATGCAGATGTAGTGGGTTATGTGATGTTAGGCAAAATTACTAAAATCTAATAGATGTGAAATGTGTTTAGTTATCATTATGGGAAACTTGTGGCTACACTCAAGTTCGGTGCACCCCATAACGAATAGTAAAATCAAAACAAGCATTTTTAAAAATCTGAAACTTCTTGGCATTGATTATGAACAAATGTTTTAGGTGCTTGCAAAGTTTGGTGGCCAAATAACATCAAATGGTCTCCATACAAACAAAGTACAAATTCTACTCAAGCATTGCACATACATTTGAGCACTTTTTTTAAAAGAGCTCCTCAGATGTCATTTCACCACCAAATTTGGTAAGCACCTAAAACATTTGGTCATGATAGAAGCTACAAAGTTTCATTTTTTTGATTTGTTTTGCTATGTTTTCGATTGTGGGTGTGCATGTACCCGGGCTACAGGATGTCAATTCTACAGGAAGTAACTGACCAAATAAGATATAAATATTCCCTCCGTTTCATATTAACTGTCGCTCAAACTAATATATCTAGCACCATAATACGTCTAGATACACCCGTTTCAGCGACAATTAATATGGGACAGAGGGAGTAGTAAACCTTTAAAAACAATAAGCATGACGCCCTTGCATTCACATTGCTAGTTTTAATAATATAAGTATAATAGATAGATAAAAAAATTAAGTGAACAGTTCAAGGCTAGCGAGCTACCTGCATCAAGAAGAGAGGAACTCCGACAACAACCATAGGGTTGCCCACCTCGCACAGCAGTTCTTTGACGCATGGGTATGGTGGCAGAGGCGATGGCTTGCCGAGCTCATCCATGGACACGTCCACCTCCGCCTCGACAAACACGACACCTTCCCCGGTGCAGTCGACGACTAGCTTGCCTCCAGGAGCCTCCCAGAGACGGCCTGCCAGAGGGTAGTAGTGCACCAACGCCTCCGCGAGGGCGGCCTTGATTGCCTTGGCGGCAATGGCAGGCCGCCCTTGCCCGTGGTCACCAATGTCGACCGCACGAAAGAACTTGATGGAGGGCTGCAGAAGCCGCAGGCCTATTATATCGTCAAGGTCGGAGAGAGGCAGAGTCTCCCGCGGTGTTGCTCGTGCCGGTAGCACGAGCTCGGGTTTTTTCCGACGTGCCACAAAGGACCCCATGTTGCAAAATAATGCACTGCAAGGTAGTGTAGTGTGCAGCTACTGGCTGTGCTTGCGTAATGGATACTGCTGTTGCTCTAGTCTAATTATATAGGCGCGCTGATTTGGGGTATTGGTGCCGTTAGCCCGGTTGCAAAAGCACCCGCCACATGTCGCAAATTACCCTGCATGGTTATCCCGGCATGAATAAGCTCCATCTCTCTTTCTCTGTCTCCCTCCCTCTCTCTGGTCAACTCTCTCTTTGGTCGGCCACTATTCGAGGTGACAATCGAATACATCAGTAGTAATTTCCTTTTGCGATGATAACGGGAATCTCAGGCTGGTCATAGTGGGAGTAGCTTAAGGAGTAACATAGATGCCACATAAACAAAAAAGATGAAGTGGCAAGTAGTTAATGAGGAGAGAGGCAAATAGAGTAAGGCTGGCCATAGTGGGGTAACATAAGTAATCCTTAAGCCTGCCATAGTGTTACTACTCTAAGTTACTCCCCACTATGACCTGCCATAGTGTTACTACTCTAAGTTACTCCTCACTATGACCAGCCTCAGGTGACATAGGAGCACGAATTCCGGTCTTCTAAAGATGTAATTTAATATATTTGTCCATGTGGAGAATCTAGAATCGATTGCTTTGGATGTAATCGAGATTAAGACATGTACGGCTTGGACTAATTTGTACTACCTCCGTTCTGGTTTATTGATCCCTTAGTAATTTCTATTAAATTTTGATCATAGATTTAACTTTAAAAATAATAATGTATGTTTACCAAAAATTATAATTGGATTTGTATTTGAACATAGTTTTCAATGTCATTATTTTTGGCTGGATGTGCTAAGAGGACCAAATTAACCAGGAGCATCTAATATAAAAATGTTTTTGACACTAATGTAATGTTAAAAATGTTCTTATATTTTGAGACAGAAGGAGTAATAGCTAGTAGCACTATTGGTCAACTAGTGCCAAACCGTGTCATTACTTCTTTTTGTATCTAATAAAGACCGACGTGTAACAAGGATATATAGTGAGTAATTAGGCAGCCAAAATAAATGTAGTTTATTACTCTACCTTGGGGCAGGCACCAGCTAAGACCATTTATTTATCTACTAGTAGGAACCAGGAGCATCTGTCGGCATGAATCTGGTCAATGGTACGCAGGATGCTAGGGCAGGAAAGGTGATGAAATTTAACGATCGTCGGTGGAAGGGGACCAGAAATGCCAACTGAACGTGTGTGCTCCGCCATGCCACGCCAACCCCTTCGCTGTGGTGAAAATCGGGGCGGGGGAGGGACCCGCAGCAGGTCACCAAGTGCTTCGGAATGCCTAACCTGTTACTTCCTCCGTCCGGGTTTATTAAAGACAACTTCTCTTAGATTAAGACACATAATGATTTATTAACATTAATTCTTCCATTTCATTCCTAACGCACTATCTCACATGCATGCAGCTAATGAAAAAGCACGCATGAAGTGTATTAATTTCTCAGCCAAGGCACTAACAACAATGGCTTTTAATGCAACCAATGAAATGGTTGCATGCATGCACCTTTCCAAAGCGAGGCCTTATAAAAAGGGACATGCTTGTGATGCTGAGAGGCCTAATAAACCCGGACGGAGGGAGTAGTTGGTATGTAAACTAATATAACCAATCACAATCTGAACTTGACTGAAATCTCTACGAGCACAGCAATCAATGTGAACATTAATCCTAACTGTTCAGATCAAGGTGAAGCCTGGTGATTCATTGGTTACCTTTTCTAGTCTGCGGATTCTATATATACACTGTAGATGTGGCTGGATTAGTTGAATCATTGCATCAACTCAAGCTCCTGAGGTATCTGGCACTATTAAATACTGACATATATGTACTTCCAGAGAACATTGGCAAGATGAAACTGTTGCAATACTTTGACCTGATTGGATGTAAAAATTTGGTGAATCTTCCTAGTAGCATTGTGAAGCTTAGGCAGCTGAGTTTACTTATTCTTCCCACATCAAGTATGGTACCTAGAGGGTTCAGCGGTCTAACAAATATGAGGAGACTAAGTGGGTTTCGAGCCCACATGGGTAGTGATTCGTGCAATTTGGATGAGTTGGGGCCTCTTTCCCAACTCAGACTTCTTGCTTTACATGAACTAGAGAATGTGCCAGCTGCCCCGTTTGCTGCTAATGCTAAGCTTGGTGAGAAAAACATCTTATTGACATAGCCTTGAACTGCACAAGCAAACTAGGAGATGATGGGTTGGTCACAGAGAAAGAAGGTGTTCCTGAGGAAGAACAACAGCGAATTGTGAATGTGTTCGATGGGCTATGCCCTCCGCCTAGTGTGAAAAATCTGGAAATTGAGGGCTATTTTGGAGAGAAACTCCCTAGTTTGATTATGTCGACGTCAACAGTGCTGCTCGGCAACTTGAAGACTCTACTGTTTGCTGACCTGGCTTGTTGCACACAACTTTCCAATGGGTTGCCAGCTCGCCAATCTGCAGTTGCTACAGGCCCGTCGTGCTCCATACATCAAGCGTGTTGGAGCTAGATTCTTGCAGGCGGCGGCAACTCCATTTCCAAGGTTAAACAAATTGACCTTAGGAGGAATGCTGCAATGAGAGGAGTGGGAGTGGGAGGAGTAAGGGCAAGCAATGCCCCGTCTGGAGAAGCATACACTCATTACTTGCAAACTGATGCGTGTACCTCCTGGCCTTGCCTCTCATGCAAAGGCTTTGAAAGTATTATCTGTAAACAATGTCCAACAACTTTGCTGCCTTGAGAACATTCCTTTTGTTGTAGAGATGCTGAGAAGAGCAGTCATTGAAGCCGGAGGAGACTCCCAGTCGGCTAGAAATGCAAAGGTCATGCTTCACCAAAACCTCAAGGATTCCTTGATTGGCCACAAGACCTTAATGGTAATGGATCATATGTGGGATGGTGGAGCATGGGAGGGTGTGCTCAGAATACTCTTTATCAATGTTGCTGCTTCAGGCAGCCGAGTTCTCATCGCCACCAGAGATGAAGATGTTGCTTGAGGGATGGCAGCAAGTTGGTCGTACCACCACATTGACACATTATAGCTTGAAGATGCATGGTCATTGCTCTAAAAGCAGGTCCGTATTGAATTAAATACTAATATCTTAATCAAGCGAATAATTTGTATTCATCTAATTGGCAGTACACTTTAATTCATTAGGAGAAATATTAGGATGCGACTAAATTAATTAAGTATGAACTTGTATTTACTGTGACCTCTAGGAAGGTAAGAAGTTGTGAAAAATTTCTAGGGCTAATATTACTTTGTTAGTGTCAATAAAACATGATGCTAAAAAGGGTAATATATTACACCACCAGCTGGGTTTTCCATATTTCATTTATGCCCACATCACACATGTTCGAGACACAAACATTTTGTTTAGTCAAGTTTGAGTAATAACAATTAGAAATTTGGGTAATTGTTAAGTTATGCATTTATCATTTTCACCAGTAGAATAAAACAATATTTGAAGATGGAAAAACAACAATTTTCTTGAACCTCTACCAGTACCACAAAATAATATAACACAAGAATTAACAATACTAGAAGCTGTTGGTAGTTATGCTTGGAAAATTGCACAGAAATTTCAGTCAGCAATGTTCGGCCTACTAAGTATATGCATTCTTGGCGACTGGAAAAAAGAGATATTTTCAGTAAAATAAGGCAACTCGTAAATAGTATATGATTTGTACTAAATTTGGACTACACATTTCTGTATAGTGATAAGAGATTACTGCAAGGTATATTTCTGTCCAGCAATATAATCCTTTATGCAAAAAGTAAAGAAAAGAAAGATTTGTTGTCTGTATATTTTTTCTGGTATAAAGTATCTATGTTATATGTGGAAGTCATTGCACTAATCTTCTGTATGTAGGGACAGGATAAGTATGTATATATATAGCATTTATTTTCCACATGTATGGAGCTTAATACATACTCAGCTAGTTAACTGTATTAGTCCCTTAAATTCCATATTCGCAGGTACTCTCAAGTGAGATAGATGAAGATTACATCAATACACTGAAGGATGTTGGATTGAAAATTATACAAAAATGTGGTGGCTTACCACTTGCTGTCAAAGTAATGGGAGGAATCTTGCGAGAAAGAGGGCGGCTACGTCGTAATTGGGAGCTTGTTTTGGATGATTCAAAATGGTCAATAACTAAAATGCCTCAAGAGCTCAACTGTGTACTTAAGCTATGAATATATGCCTTCTTACCTGAGCAGTGCTTTTTATTCTACTCTATTCTTCCTAAAAGTAAATTTTTTACTCTGAATCAAGTAGTCGCGACGTGGATAAGTGAAGGATTTATTCATGGAAACTCCAGTGATTTGGAAGAATTGGGAAGAAATCATTACAAGGAGTTGGTATCTAGGAACCTTATAGAGCCAGATAAATTGTATATTAGTTTATTGGTTTCCAACATGCATGATATTGTTTGCTCATTTGCTCAGTATATGACTAAAAATGAAGCACTCGTAGCTCATGACGGGGACTGATATTCTTACTAAACTTAGTTCACAAAAGCATGAGTTTGTTTTGCTTCTGTATATGCCTCGGAACTTCAGTTCGTTTTGCTTCGGTAACCATTCTTTCCCCTATAATCCAATGGCAGAGCTCCTGCCTTTTCTGCATAAAAAAAACCTATCTTCTAATGTTATTTATAAAAGCATGAGTTTGGTGATACCAAATGATCTCAACCGTTCAATCACCTATATCCAACGTCCCACACCCCTCTGGCGATGTATCCATCACACATCATTGATAAAACTAGAAACAATATTAATTGCATTATTTATAATTAATTTTGAAACAACATTAATTTAATTGATTGTAATTAATCCTGGAAAATACCGAATAATCTTCGTAACTGTATCACGCACGACCATTCTACGAATAACAAGAGAGGGAGGAAGTGTGCTCATGCATCAACGGGGATGAAGTCTGTCCAACAACAACACCCAGTTGAGTCACCCAGCC